CTACGACCGTAAGAACTCTCCAGCTAAGGGCACCCCAAAGAGGGATTCAGGCTTCCCCAAAACCCTAAACACTAAACCCTCAACTCGAAACCCTGAACCCTCAACCCTCAACCCTGAACCCATGTCAGCTCCCCAGCCCAAGGTACCAAGTCGTCATGATGACGAATCCGGGAGACATGCCGCTGACCTTTGGCGGCACTGGATGATGGCCCCTGTCTTGGGGTTCCAGAGTGCCCCTAAACCCTAAACCCTAAACCCTAAACCCTAAACCCTAAACCCTAAACCCTAAACCCTAAACCCTAAACCCTAAACCCTAAACCCTAAACCCTAAACCCTAAACCCTAAACCCTAAAACCTAACCCTTCCGGAACCTCCAAAACCCTAAACGCCAAACCCCAGTCCTTAGTCCCTAAACCCTAAATGCTCTCGTTGCTACCCTAAGATGTCGAGGAGCTACCAGATCCGTGCGGCCATGGATGCAGCTGGCAAAGGCTGGTGGGGTCGAACATGTACGGTTAGTGTTAAGGGTTTCGGGTTTAGTTCGGGTTTAGGGTTAGGGTTTAGAGTTTAGGGTGTAGGGTGGAGGGTTTTAGGGTGTAGGGTGTAGGGTTTAGGGGTTTTGGGGGTTTTGGGGGTTTTGGGGGTTTTGGGGTTTTTGGGGGTTTTGGGGATTTGGGGGTTTGGGGGTTTTGGGGGTTTTGGGGGTTTTGGGGGTTTGGGGGGTTTGGGGGGTTTTGGGGGGGTTTTGGGGTTTTCAGGCCTTTTAGGTTCTTAGGGCTACAGGGTTTTCAGGGTTTTTAGGGTTTTTGGGAGTTGTTGGTGCTTTTGGGGCTTTAGGGTTGCAGGGTTTTAGAGTTGTAAGGTTCTAGGGTTCCAGGGACTTTAGGGTTGGGTTTTCCGGTTTAGGGTTTAGGGATCCCTGAAACGGAGCTGCAGGAGACGATGCAGACGCCACCTCGTTGCGGGACCTGGCGGAAGAGGCGCACCGAATTCTTAAACCCCCATACGGGTTTTCTTGGGGTAAACCCTAAACCCTAAGCCATAAGCCTTAAGCCCTAAACCCTAAACCCCATATAACAAGCCCTAAACCCTCCCCCGCCCCCGCTCAAAACCCCAAACCCCAAACCCTGATCCCTAAACCTTAAACCCTTAACCCAGGGCGGTTTCTCCCTTTCTCCCAGTTTTGGGTTAGGTTCCCTCACTACAAGACTCACTAAACACTCAACCCTCTGGGAATCCGAGCACTTCCAGCCACGAAGCCCAATTGAGACCGTTTTCGGCTTAACGTTCAAACCCTAAAGCCAAACCCTAAAGCCCAATCCCTAAACCCGAAATCCTAACCCGAAACCCTGAACCTTTAAACCCTCAACCCTCGGAAGGCTTCGCTCCCCCGTCCACTCCCACCTCCCCCCCACTTACCCAGCTGGCAGGCCCCATTTCGAGCATGGCCGATGCAGGGAATTATCCTTCCGCACCAGCCTGGTCCTCTCAGAATTCTGTTGAGGGTGTAGGGTTGGGGTGTTGAGTTTAGGGTTCAGGGTCTAGCGTTTAGGGTTTAGGGTTTAGGGTTGAGGGAGTAACGTGGGGGCTCAGGTTTAAGGGGCGCAGGTGGGGTGGTGTAGGCTGAGGGTTTTAGGTTTCAGGCTAGTCATGAGCTTTGTGTCTTGTCATTGTACCGAGAAGTCAGGTTACATGTGAGAGATGCCTAACTGCTATAAACAGAATGAACCCAACCCGCAAGTCCGGAAAGCCCAACCAAAACCCTCCTAAACCTTAAGCCCTAAACCCAAAACACTAAACCCTAAACTCCGTATCCCAATCCCTTACCCGCCGAATTGTATGCGGATTCCCCTCCATGACAAAGTCCCGTGAAGCCTTGGGAGCCGGGTGGGGCTCGGGGCAGAAAAATGGTAGCAGCAGTGGGATCTCGGGTTCAGACAAGTTGGGGATTTCGGGGCTCCGGCTGAGGGCCCCTGCGAACCCTAAACCCACAAACCCACAAACCCTAAACCGCCCTAAGCCCCTAAACCCTAAACCCCTATACCGTACCCTTAACCTCTAACCTCAAACCTCTAAACCCCAAACCCTAAACCCCCATCCCTTACAGTGGCCGCCGAGGTTCCACCTCATCGTGCTGGAGTTTGCGCCGACAGTGCTGTCCTCACATGCTGCGCTCTTTTCAGGCTTCGGGTTGAGGGGGTAGGGTTTAGCGTTTAGGGTTTAGGGCTTAGGGCTTAGGGCTTCGGGGCCAGGGTTTACGGGTTAGGGTTTGGGGTTCGGGGCCAGGGCTTACAATGGTTGAGAAACCCACTCGCAACCTTGAACCAGGGTCAAAGAGCAGTCGTTGGCTGAAGGTTGCGTGCCAGAATCCTACAATCCTGCCCTGTTGACCCTACCCCCCCCAACCTAACCTCCCACATTCCAACTAGACCCCAGATACCGAACCCTGAACCTTGACACCTTGAAAAGGCCCCATTCAATAGCCCGTGAGAATCAACTCATAAGGAACTCATACAAAGCCTGTACAACCCTGTACAGACAAACGCCCATTACCTCAACTCTACACCTAAACTAAAAACGAATCCTTGAACCCTAAACCCTAAACCCTAATAAACCCTAAACCCTAAACCCTACATTCCTAAACCGCTGAACCCCTCAACCCTAAGCCCCTCCACCCCGAGGTCGCCCGAAACGAGGCGGCCTTCTCCGCGAGCTTTCAGGTTGCCGTGGCCTTGGCAGGGTTCAGGGTTTTGGGTTTAGGGTTTTGGGTTTTGGGTTTAGGGTTTAGGGTTTAGGGATCAATGGACTCGTTCATGTTGAGAAGGCTTTCAGTTTTTCTCTTGAGGGTTCTTAAGGTACTTTCTTATGCACGGTGTTGAAGGTTTTCGGGTTTCAAGGTCTCTGTTCTCATCTTGCCGCCGTCACAAGATTAGCAAGCATTGCGCCTTCCACCTTCAAGGCTTCCACCCCTTCTACACGAAGACACGAAGACCCTGGACCCTAAACCCTAAACCCTAAACCCTAAACCCTAAACCCTAAACCCTAAACCCTAAACCCTAAACCCTAAACCCTAAACCCTAAACCCTAAACCCTAAACCCTAAACCCTAAACCCTAACACTTCTGCCCTACGTGTAACAACATCGCAATCCCGATTTCTTTAAGTTCCAAGGCGTAGGCCTCCCCGAACCCAACACCCTTGTGAGGGTTTAGGGTTTAGGGTGTAGGGTTTAGGGTTTAGGGTTTAGGGTTTAGGGATTAGGGAGCAGCTCGAACCCAGCAACCCCTGAGCCCTGTTTTCTCGCATTTCGTGTGATGGTCCCCACGACTCTCTTAAGAACCGTTCACAAGACATGGCTGGGTTGGCTTTTGGGATATTTTGTATTTTCCTTCTTTGGGTTTCTGAGGGATCCTATATCTAGAAATGGTTCAAAGGTTGTAAAGGCCAACCCAGTTAAGGGATGGTTTGACGAGCGAAAGATTTCACAAAGATGCAAACAAGCCAATGGGGAGAGTTGCACGAAAACTTTGGTCAAATGCATACCACTTTCGCTCGTAGGATGCCTTTGCAGAGAACCCTAAACCCTAAACCCTAAACTCTAAATCCTGAACCCTATAAGCCCTAAGCCCTGAACCCTAAGCCCTAGCCCTCTGGGCCGTGTCCTGAACCCCAGGAATGTGTCCGGAATATAAGGACGCAGGCTGATTTTCCTATTCCTTTCCTTCAGACGTCCCAGCCCCAAAACCTAAGCCTCAATTCCCAGGTGGGTGGTTGTGAAAATCATGATCCCTTTTGGGGTACCCCAAATATTAGGTGCCGTATTATCATAGGGATCCAAAAAGGGCCCAGAGTTTTGACAAACACCCAGATGAAGAGCTCCCGAAAGAATCGCAGATGTTCCAGTCAGGGTTTCAACCCGCAGGTTGTCAGGGGTTTAGGGTTTAGGGTTTAGGGTTTGGGGTTTGGGGTTTAGGGGCTTTTGAGGCATGGGAGAGAGTTTTGCCCTCACTGCGCTGCAGGTCGTCGACTACTACGAGAGCCAGCCCAAGACAATAAGGGTCTCTGGCAGAGCACGAAACCCAGACGAGGGAAGCAAGGGTTTTAACTTGAGGGTTTAGGGTTCAGGCTTAGGGTATAGGGTTTAGGGTTTAGGGTCTAGGGTCTAGGGTTTAGGGTTCAGGGTTTAAGGTTTAGGGTTTAGGGTTGAGGCGCTTCCATTCCGGATGTCCCGGCATCTGCTTGTGGCGGACTCCCCGCTGTCAGACGACCCCTCATTTGAGGAGATCTGCCCTCAGCCGGCGGACGCCCTAAGCCTTAAATCCTAAACCCTTGAGTTCAGGCTGAAAGCGGGCTCCAGACCACGTCAGAATTTGCAAGGGCTTTGTTCGCGCCGGCCATTCCCCCACAGACCGCGCTCAGCCCGAATTCCCCAACCTCGAGCCCCCAGAGCCCCCAACCTGAGCCCCCAAACCCTGGACTGCACAAGCCCTAAACCCTAACTCACCAAACCCTAAACCCTAAGCCCCAAGCCCCTAAACTATCCTAAACCCAAAAGCACGAAACCCTCGCCCTAAGCCCCTAAACCCTAAATCGACAGAGGCCTGGCAACCGCAGCTGGCGTTCTGCAACGGCCAGTCCACCATCACGTTTCCGCCCACGCAACACTGGCCGGTTTGTTCAGGGGGGCTCCACAGTCCCATCACCCCAAGACTCTAAAGGGTTTACAGGGTTTATAGGGTTTACAGGGTTTACAGGGCTTATTGGGTTTATAGGGCTGAAAGGGTTTGTAGGGCTTTTAGCGTTGATAGGGTTGATAGGATTGATAGGGCTTTATAGGGTTTATAGGGTTTATAGGGTTTGCTACACCAAAAGGCTTTATCAGCAGAACCTCACAACGCACCTTGGGAGTAGAAAAAGCAGCCGGCACCTGCGTCTGCTCAAGTTCCCTGTGCACCGAGCTAGACGCATTGGCTTATCTTGGTTGGGGCACGAGTTGGGTTCATGGACGACGTGCAGCGGTTCGTTTACCGAGCGTTGCGGTCAGATGAGGACGGATGTGACCTAAACCCCAAACCCAAAGCCCTAAACCCTAAACCCTAAACCCCAAACCCCAAACCCTAAACCCTAAACCCTAAACCCTAAACCCTAAACCCTAAACCCTAAAACCTAAACCCTAAACACTAAACCCTAAACCCTAAACCCTAAACCCAAGCCCTGAAGCCTGAACCTTGATTTGCAATTCTATGCGGGCAGGACGTCATCGCAGGGCTGAGGGCGCGGGATCCAGCTGCCAACCGTACCCAACTGCACCGAACACCCACTTTCCCTACGGCTTGGGAGGTTGTCGGGTTTGCGCTGTCAAGGGTCTAGGGCTCAAGGTTGCAGAGTGAGGTGTGCTGCTTGAAGATTTAGCTAGGTTTCCCTGGTGCATTTTCTGAGTCTCTTGCCACAAGCTCTCGAGGTACCATCTCACAAGCTTTGGAAGAAGGTAAAGTGGCGAGCCAGTTCTTGCACGCGACCATCTTGCCAGAAGTGGCGCTTTACTACGCCAAGGCTTACTCCGAAACTTCGAAGCAGCAAATCGTGGAGATCGATTTGGAGGGCTTCAGTGGCGACATCGTTGATGTGTCAGACCCCCATGCCTGCAACTGTCATGACATCCCTCGTTCTAGCAAGGCCTATAATTATGCCGTCAAGCACAGGGTCGTGATGCTCAAGGGCTACATCCGGCCGGAACGTCTGTCTCACAAAGTATGTCACACCACAGAGTATTGCATTGACTACGCTGGCCGTCGGTCCCTAGACGATTTCGTGTCAGTCCTGCCGGAAGCGATGCGACAGGAGGTCAATCGCTACTGGAGACCCGACACGTTGAGTACAAGACGCAGAAGGCCAATTTCGAAGACGTCGCTGAGCCAAGCAGTGCACGAGGACGATGCCGCCCAGAAACTGGTTCTAAAGAAGGCATCAGACGGGCTAGCGCAAGAAATAGAAAAGCTTCAAGCGAGAAAGAAGGTAATCGACGCACAGTCCCGAGAGCTTAAGAAGAGGGCTGACAGAGAAGCTCGCTTGAAAGAAGAAGCGCGAGAGCGAAAGCTTGAGGAAGAACGGCGGGAACGAGAGCGGCGAGAGGAAGAGCATCTCAAGAAGAAGCTCTTGGCCGAGGAGAGGCGAGGGCCGAAAATCCGTGCAAGGTGTCCGGAGAAGGACCATTTATATGACAACTTCGACAGGAAAGCGCTGCAGGTGGCTCTCGGGAACGGTGGCTACATTGCGATCTGGGACCATGCCAAGGGCCACGCCTGGAGCAACATTCCAAAATCGCTGGAAAACAAGCTCAACGGCCGGGGCTATCATCAGCCACATGCCACGATGGTCGCACTGAGTCCGGATTCGGACGGCTACTATGTGCAGTTTAGCGATGAGTCAGCGAAATATTGTGGCCCTGAAAGCTTCGAGGAACTTGTAGCCACTTCAAAACCTCCGTCAGTTGTCGCACTCGGCGAGAGAGGATCGTGGTTTGTGGGATGGCCCAATGGTAACTGGGAGTATGATGGTCTTCCACGAAGTCTTCGCAACATGCTGGACTCAAACAAGCACAGGTCTGTCGCCAAACTCAGTATCTCCGGGACGAGCCATGATCAAGATTTTGATGAGGCAGCCTGGTTCGTCCACTGGGAAGATGATGGACACCCCGTTTGGAGGCTGAAGAATGCACCTGACATCCTCTCAGAACGACTGCAGGAGGTGCAGGAGAAAGGCGGAACGGTGCGGAGTATCGAGTTCGGAAGCTATGGCGAATGGGTTCTCCGCTACGGCTATGCAGACTAGGCTCCGCAACGCAAAACTTGGTGCTCAGTCGAGCCCTTTTGTCACAGAAGGGCATCTCAAGAAGCCTGAAGCTCGAGCAAGTTTACAGTTTGTCGGCTCAATGCTTTTCGCACCACACGGGCTGGCTGAATCTCAAAACTCGCTTAAGCCACTGACCGTCGTCTGCTGTGTTTTTTTGTGACCACGTATGTCAGGGGTGGTGGCCCATAATGCTTGCCAGGTGTTCAGGCATCGCGTCCACGATGGCCCATGCCCTAGCTGTTCGTCTTCCGGTTTAGGCAGTTCGGGTTTAAGTGAGTTTAGGGCTTAGGGCTTAGGGCAAGGGCTGAGGGCATAGGGCTTAGGGCTTAGGGCTTAGCGCTTAGCGCTTAGCGCTTAGCGCTTAGGGCTTTGTACTTAGGGCTTCGGGCTTGGGGCTTAGGGCTTCGGGGAGTTTCTGAGGGTTTGGGATCATTTGGCTGGGTCGAGGAGTGAAGAGAGCAGACGCGGAGCCGAGTCAGCTGCCTATCGTCAGCAGTAGGTGCCTCTTAGCGAGTTGTGAGTTGTGTTGACATCGTAAAGTTATACGTGCAAACTGCACCGAAGCCCTCAGCATTGAACCTAGCTGGTTACCCCTACTTTGGCCCGTACTAAGAGACCATCAAATGCAGGATCGAGGTAAAACCTTGATTTTTACAATCGCCCTTCTAGAGTTTAAGATCCGTCGGAGTATGTGCAGAACCCTAAACCCTAGACCCTAAACCCTAGTCCCTAAGCATGCCTAAGTTCAGAAAACCCTAAAGCCTAAGTTTTTGGTTTGAGTCCCTGGAACCGTTGAGCATGACTGGGGTCAGCCCTGAACCCTAAGCCCTAAACCCTAAACTCTAAGCCCCTAAACCCTAGCCCTAAACCCTAAACCCTAAACCCTAAACCCTAAACCCCAAACCCCAAACCCCAAAGGCCAAACAAGAACTGAGAAACATGAGCCTCAAGGTCTGCCCGGTGAAGAACGTGTCGGAGATTCCCATTTCGTGACCTTGAGGGGGGGGAGGGGGGGGGAAGGTTTGAAGGTTTGGGGTTAGGGTTTAGGGTTTAGGGTTTAGGGTTTAGGGATTAGTTATTAGGGTGGTTAGGAGTTAGGTTTTAGGGTTTAGGGTTTAGGGATTAGGGATTAGGGATTGGGGTTTAGGCTGGGGGTCTGGGGCTTAGACCTTGGGCCCATGTTTCATTTATCTGAGCCTACCAGACTCACAAGCACAGGGCCCTCATCCATCCATATTGCAAGTAGGCGGCGTAATCAGGAGGGCTAAAGGTTTGGACTGCGTGTGTGCCTGTGCTCACAGGCTCGGTGCTAGTGAGTGCGTGCGTGTGTACGTGCATGTGTACGTGCGTGCGTGCGTGGGTGTGTGTGTGTGTGTGACCTGGTTGATTGCTTCATGGCTTGCGCAGGTACGAGTGTCGCATTCCAAGTCGCTTCCGCTCGACCTTCTGGTGCGCGCCAGAAGAGCCCCCGCAAGCCCTCAAACGGGAGCGTCTCCATTCCGAACCCTGAACCATGCCCTAAGTTTCGTAAGACAGGAAAGAGGCCCCTGGCTTCTCAAGCCCTGAACTCCCTAAAACTTAACTTGAAGCCTATAGAGCCCCATAAACCCTAAACCCTTCAAACCCTGAGCCTTTCTAGCCCTGAACCCGAAACCCTAAGAACTCCAAGCCCGAAATCCTCGAGCCCTTTAGAATCCAGTGTGCGTAGGGTTGGGGGGGTGGGGAGTGGGCTTCGACCCCACAGCCTACACAGGTTTAGGGTATAATTCGGGTTTAGGGTTTAGGGTTTAGGGTTTGGGCTTTAAAGTAAAGGGTTTAGGGCTTGGGGGTCTTCAGGATCAAGCATCCGAGTGCTTAGATTTGAGGGTTTCGGAGAGGCCCCGAGCCGTCGGTGCTTGCTGTGGCTTTTTGGGCTTGGGGCCATTTAGGGTTTAGGGTTTAGGGTTTACGGTTTAGGGTTTAGGATGGTTTGGGTCTTCAGGCAATCTCGGGCCCTACCGATGTCATTCCCGTGAATCGGCATCGGGATGAAATGAAGCTAAAATTGAAGTCATATACCCTATACTACGAAATTTCTATCAAGGCATATGAATCACCCTAAACCCTAAACCCTAAACCCTAAACCCTAAACCCCAAACCCTAAACCCTAAACTTCGGTCCCCAACAGTGTAGGGTTTTCGGGAGTTCATAAGGGGAATGGGTGCCTTCCAACGCAACCTGCGAATGTCCAGGACGTGCAGCTTGCAGCACCTATACGGTTCCGCGATAGGGTTTAGGGTTTAGGGTTTAGGGTTTAGGGTTTAGGGTTTAGGGTTTAGGGTTTAGGGTTTAGGGTTTAGGGTTTAGGGTTTAGGGTTCAGCTTCAACACTGCTACCTTTCTGAATCCCTAAGAAGCCGAAGGTCTCACAGAACCTGACATAGGTTTTGCCAGAATATCCCCTTCTAACCTGAGCTCTCCCAAACCCTCTAAGAGCCCAAACGCATTAGACCTAGCCCGAAGACCCCAAGCCCCTAAACCCTAACCCTTAACCCCAAACCCCAAACCCTAAATCCTAAACCCCCAATCCCCGTAAAGCGTAACTGGCCCAAACATCCTGCCTGCAGGTTCACGCAGCAGGCCGGACAGCAGCGGGCCTCAGCTCGCCTCGTTGCAGAGGGAAAGGGTTTAGGGTTTAGGGTTTAGGGTTTAGGGTTTAGGGTTTAGGGTTTAGGGTTTAGGGTTTAGGGTTTAGGGTTTAGGGTTTAGGGTTTAGGGTTTAGGGTTTAGGGTTTAGGGTTTAGGGTTTAGGGTTAGGGTCCATGTACCTACATCGTATAACTGCAGTCATGACCCACCTATGAGCCCTATCAAGTGCTCTAAATGGTTATGGTTGGGTTGTATAAGTACACTTATGCTTGGGTTTTTAAGTACTCCCAAGTTCGCTTGCCGGTTCTTGGTATGGAATGGGCAAGCTGTGCCTTCTCTCCCCCCCCTCCATAAAATCATATCCTTTCAGGGGAAGATGTAGGGTACCTAATTCCCTTTTTCCTTACTCCCTACTTTCTAACCTGAATAAGGCCCCTAGCCTTGTTTAAAGGGTTCTGATGTATGGGCCCTTAATTTTAATTTGTGTAGGGTATATACTTTTAAGGGCCCATACTGAGGGACCATGTCACTACCCTCCACTAAACCCCCCGAACCCTATAACCCTATAACCCTTTCACCCCATAACCCTTAACCCTAAGATACTAAGAACCTATAACCCTTCCACCCCAGAACCCTATAACCCTGTAACCCTTTCACCCCAGAACCCTTAACCCTAAGATACTAAGAACCGGAAGGTTTCCGAAAATTGGGGTTGTAGACCCCCCTTCGACGAGGCCATGCAGGGTTCGGGTCTCCAGCGAAGGTGTGGGTTTAGGGTTTAGGGTTTAGGGTTTAGGGTTTAGGGTTTAGGGTTGAGGTCCAGGTAAGCCCCAAAGCCCTAAACCCTACGCTCTTGGTGGGTTTAGGGTTCAGGGCTTCTGGACCCCAAATGCTAAAACCCTAAACCCACCACCTGGAATCCTAAACCCTAAGCCACAAACCCGAAATCCTAATTTTGTTTGGGTTCAGGGATTGTCCGCCGGTTTTCGTCCTCAGGCCCCACGAAACCAAGAGGGACATTCTTTTTCTCTCCCGTTGGGTAACGGGGAACCGAGAACATGAAGCCCTGAACTCGACTTAGTAGCTGAGTAGATAACCTTAGGGTTTAGGGTTTAGGGTTTAGGGATACCCTTTAACCTTTTTCGGTCTGGAATTGAAAGGTTCACCTTGTTTGGGCCAGGATACTCAGCAACTAGGTTAAAAAGCCCTATGGAACAGAAGCAGCAAGTGAGTGAGAGAGAGCCAGACTATGTCCACAGCAAGAATAAGCCGGAGGAGCATGCGCAGGCAACAGGAGCAACAGATGCACAAGACCACGTAACACCACAAGACACAAGAGCAAGCGATCAAAAGCACACTGTCTGAGCCCTGGACGCTGAGCTCTAAAACCCTAAACCCTAAACCCTAACCCTAAACCCTAAACCCTAAGCCCCAAGAGCTAAAGCAGGGTTCGGCTGCCCAGGCTCGCGCCCTCCGAGACCACCCACATTGTGGCCAACTTCTCTCCATCCAGCGAGCCCTCGCCCTCGGAGTGCCTTTTTGGGGGTACCCTAAACCCTAAACCCTAAACCCTAAACCCTAAACCCTAAACCCTAAACCCTAAACCCTAAACCCTAAACCCTAAACCCTAAACCCTAAACCCTAAACCCCGAACCCTGAACCCTGAACCCTGAACCCTAAACCCTGAACCCCGAACCCTGAACCCTAAACCCTAAACCCTAAACCCTAAACCCTAACCCTTGGGACAATTCATATTTCCCCTTATTGGGTTCAAGAGGGTTGTACTTGAGAGATTTTTTTCAGAGGGTCTTTAGGGCCATCCTAGGGTATAGGTTCTTTCGGGAAGATGTAGAAGAGAAGCCCTCAAGCCTGAGCACCACGCCCTGAACCCTACATGCTGAGCCTGCGCCTGATGTGATGGTCGACCAGCTGCCTACGACACTACGTTCTAAACTCATGAAGCGCTTTCCGTTCAGATTGCCTTAATAGGAATTATAGAGGGTATATGGCCCCCACACCCTACCCGAAACGCCAAATCCTAAACCCTAAGTTCTAACCTCAAACCCGCAGGCGACACTGGATTTCCCCCAAAAGGGAGGGGGCCTTTCTGAACTAGGGCCGCTTGAGGGTCCTTTGTAGTTAGTGTTTTTTGGGGTTGAAGGTCTAGTGATGGTATCGTATCTACAAGGCGACGGCAATCACAACAACCCTCCGTGTGTCGTTCAGACATTCTTTTGCAGCTGGCAACACAAGTAAACTTTGAAGCTCTCAAACCTAGAAGTCTTAAATTCCTTAAATTTGGCCGAAATTATATAGCCCAAGACTACTGAATAGGACCTCGAAGCCCTAAAC